CTCTTGTTCTTAAATTACTGGGGAGGGGGGGGGAAGTGACTAGAAATGCAGAATCTTCTTTGTGCCATTCATTATTTTTATATAGCTGTATCATGTCCTTTTTTCATGCCACCCCTAAATAGGTCTAATTGTTTCAGTTTCTCCAGATACAAAATTTTCTCTCTCAGCCTTTAATCATCTGCCTGTCTCCAGATGCTCCCTGTATCTGCTATATCTATTTTGCCGTCAAGTTCCCATAACTGAACGAAGTATTCAAGGTGTAACATATAAGTGATCTGTGGGAATTATGGTATTTCCAGTCTGATTTTTTCCTTTCCCACTAGTATTTTGTTCAACACTGCTGTCTGATGGACTTTCCACAGTAATGCCAGGATCTTTTTTCTAAGCAGTTACACTCAATTAAGATCCCAGTAGGTTGTGTGAATAACACAAAATACACCATTCAGAGTTAACGCTTCCCTAGCATTAATCCCTTTGGCCCCTATGGTATTTACTTAGCTACTTAGGTTAGGCTTCTCTTCACTATTTCTCTTCTACAGTAAGCAAAATTATATAACAGTATGTGTTCTGTGTGTTGCCACATCATTTTATACCTTTCCAGAGCAATAAATTTTTAACATGCCCTTTTAACTCATGTGTTTTCTTGAGATGTCATGTTGTCACAGGAGGCCTGTAAGCATATACACTTAAGACATATATACACTGCCCCACACAGTGAGTATAAGCACAGTCAAGCATGTCTATAATCATATAGCACCACACTTCAACTTGTACGTTGCCTGTTTCTCAGCAGGCTACTTCACTTAGTAGCTGTGGTATCTCAGCATGGAACTACATAGTAAAGGGCAGGCATGGTCATGTTGAAAGTCAACCAGATAGTGGTAATCATAGAATCATAGTATGGTTTGGGTTGGAAAGGGCCTTAAAGGTTCCAGCCCCCCTGCCACAGCAGGGACACTTTCAACCAGACCAGGTTGTTTCAAGCCCCATCCAACCTGCCTTGAATACTTCCAGGGATGGGGCAACCACAGTTTCTCTGGGCAACCTGTGCCAGGGCCTCACCGCCCTCACAGTGAAGATTTTTTTTCCTAATGCCTAACCAAAATCTACCTTCTTTCAGCTTAAAGCCATTTCCTATTTTCTTGTCACTATATGCCCTTGTAAAAAGCCCCTCTCCAGCTTCTTTGTAGACCCTTTAGGTACTGCAAGACTGCTGTTTGCTTTCTGATAGCTTTGAATGCTCAACAGTACCCTCCCATCATGAATTTGGACAGGAGCCTTTATAAACCTCCGGTAAGTATTTTTTTTTATTAAATGATCAGCTGCAAGTCTGAACTTATTTATACATACTTGGTTTTTCTTATGCCAGTACCTCCTCAATGTGGTAAAAAACAACAAAAGAAAAGGTATAGAAAGGTATATAGAAAGGTATATAGAAAGGCTGGGAACCCAAGCACGTACCCCAAATACCATGGATCTGATAATGACAGTGCTCCCTCACATGCCATTCTCCCTTCAACAATCTTTTCGTGTCCCTCACCCTGAAAAAAAAAACACTTCCAGCCACTGCCACTGCTGCGGTGGCTCTACCCAGCAAGAGGTGTGTACGTGTAGCAGCTGGCAGAGCTGGGGAAGGAAAGCCTGTGTCTCTGGCATTTCAGTCCCTTTTGTGCTGCTGTAGCTTAGCCTCTGCAGGACATCCAGAAATCTCAAGCAAAGGTTTAACGTACTCATTTCAGCCAAAGGGAAAAAAAGAAAAAAAAAAAAAAAGAGGATATGGCTGAAGAAACACAATTGAAAGACAGCCCTGGGGAAAGCACAGTTTCCCTTTACAGTGTCAGAACCTAGGAGTTCATCCCCTATTTTAGCACACTCATGTTTTATTGCTTCCTTCAATTATCATTTAAATTCATTTTCAGGTTCTGAGGTCTCCAATTTACAAAAGGACCCCTAGCCTATAGACACAGAAAAATGGTTTTGCGCCATCTCCTGACAGAATTATTACCATTATTACGTTACTTAAAATTTGTATTATATCTAAAAACCCACAATCAAATTAGGCCCCACTGCATTTTCTAACACCCAAATGTGTAACTAATAGCATTCCAGGCCCTCAGGAAAGACATTTAATTTTAAGGTAAACTCTTGGGAGCAGAAATTTTTGTTCTGTGGGGAAAAGGTCCCTGCAGCCTCTAGGTTGCACCACAATCCTAATAATAATGTTAGTAATTATAACTAATATTAGTATTAAATATTGTTACTTCAATTTTACCACAGCTTATACCCCTCTTTTGTCTTAACATGATGTGCTAAGAATGTGTTTTATTCCTTCAGCTCAAGCAATCTTTATTTAATGTTTCAGTGCTGTCCTAAGGATACTTTGCTTTGCTTACAGGGAACAATAGTCCAACAGAGTAAGTGTTTGGTGGGATGAATGGTTGTTGAAGTGAAGACAAAGGGTAAAAGAGAAGGGACACCTACAAAAGCTGTTCTCCTGCTCCACACGAATGTTAATGCTCGTTCAGTGTTCCACAATGAACCCCTTCAGTACACTGAGTTACTGGAAAAAATCCTCTATGCTGAGAAAGATGCACATGTCACTGCAGAGTCAGAAGCTGGCAATGATTGTATCAGCACACAGTTTTTTAAATGTTCTTTTTTTTTTTTTTGTCACACTCCCCCAAAGAAGTGTATGTTCCCTAAAAATGCTGCCAGAAGGCATTTCAGTTGTAGATTTAAAAAGTATTATCCTTAACCCGAATTGAGAGAAACAGGAACAAAATGTCAAAACACAAAGGCAAGACGGCTTAGTGTTAAAATGTTCCAAAATGCGATGCTGACTTAATACTGTTTTGTTACTACAAGGCAAGAGTTCAGTATCTTTTTTGTTTCATTCAACTCACTTATAACTATAGCAATACTGTGACTGCAAACAGCCTGAACGTCAGCTTGGCATGTTTGCAGTTGGTGCCCTACTTTGTAAACACCATCATAAAAGTTAGGATCCAAATGACATTAAGCTCTTTAAGATTGAATACATTTCAAGCAGAATTAAAAAAACAATCAAACAACAACATCACCACCCACCCCCACAAAAAAAAAAAAAAAATAAGAAAAAGAAAAAAGCAGTAAAACACTTCACAAGCACCGGAACGGTGACCTGGCTAATGCTCTCTCCTAAAGATGCAGGTGATAAGCATCTGTAAAAATGGCTCATCTCTGTCAGTAAAATACCCTTGTAACCTTGACAGGAGGGGTAATCTAGAAGATATCTGCACAATACTAAGAGGCGTCTGATTGTGCCTGCCTGTGAGTCTTTTAACACCCAATTGACTCAATTGCACCTACTCAAAATGCTGTTCTTTACCTTTAGCCTAGAGAGGGAAACATGATTAGAAGTCCATGTGTAAAACCGCATTGAAGATTAATAGCCCCAGGAACACACAAAATACAAGTAGTACTCAGGTGCTTTGTATCAGTGAAGACTGGATAGTCTTTCCTAGCATTTTTTTAGCCCTTCTTGTGCTTCCACCTAGGAGAAAGTGCTATTAAATTCTTTTGTAAGAAAAAAGAATAGGCATCATAGCAACATCGTGTTTCTTGCTGTCAAAACAATGACCACTTCTTTTAGCGATATTAGTGTGTTTAAATTCTCCCTTCTGTAAATACAACTTAGACTAAAAAGCACCCTTACTCTTCCAAAAGGTTTTAGAATATGAATTGATTTCAAGCTTTCATCTTTTTAAAGCACTATATTTATTATGAATATTGTTACTCCATTTGATTAAAAGGATGAAAACACTCTTTTATATACAGGAAAAAAGAGAAGAATTTCTCCTATGCCATACGATCCAGCACATGGCAGATACTTCACTTCTCTAGTGTTACTCCTTCCACCTCAAAGCAAGCAAATTTGCTATAAGGTAAAACAAACAAAATTAATTTAGCTCTGCTATGCTCTGACTGGATTTATCTGTTCTTAACTGTAGAATTAGTATTTAGCATGCAAATTAAATAGATAGATACAGGGTGACCCCCTGTCTTTCATACCCAACCTTCTGTCTTCCTCATTTGTGCCATCATTGTCATTCAGCTGTGTTAGTCTGCCAGCAGTTCTGCTGTAAGAGACATTGCTTTGTGAAGAGCTCCTGAGAGGGGGGTGTCTTTCTTGTCTTTGGCAAACTCTTCCTAAAGAGTATTTTCTGCAGTGTGCCAGCAGCTCTTGGCACAGATTCACCTGCTCACAGTGACTTGCAGTGCTGATACTTAATAGTCATCCCCTGTAGCTTAGCAGTAGCTGAGCTGGATAATTGCAGCCCCTGAGTTGGCCTTGCATGTTGGGTTTCTACTGTTTGGCAAACTTGGAAGGCCAATTTAATCAATATAAGCCAGGGAAAGAGAAAAGGAGAAATCCATCTTGCACTTAGTAGAATATTTTATCAACTTTGCTACTATTGAGAGAATGTTTCAGGGAGAAAAATTAGAATAGATTCAACAAACTGATACCAGTGAGCCTTCAGTAGATGAGGAGGAAAGAAAGAAAGGACTTTCTTTTATCAGTCATGCCAAGCAGGGAGAAGCATATGAAGATGGCATGACATCCATGACATGCTGTAAGCTGTTGCTGTAGGAAAACATGCCATCCTTCAGGTTCAGGATAATGCAGGGAAGACCCTGAACCTCACCAGGGGATGTGGAACTATATCACTTTTACAAACTGAAACGCTGCTCCTAAAAAAGTTTGGTCCATGGTTTGGTTTTTTTTTGTGGCAAACAGGCTGCAAAGGTAAGTGGGCAGGAACGGGAGTTTAGATCAACCCCCTACATTTTGTGGTGTGGGTGCTTCCTGAGCCCCTGCTACCCTGGGGACCGCTCTCGGAATGGGCAAGCAAATAGCCTGGCGTGGTCTGGGGACAAGCCTCCTTGAGGAAGCGGCGGTGATGGGGCGGAGGCTGCTCAAAGCAGAGGGGCTCCATCCTCGCCCAGACAAGCAGATTGAGTCGGGAGAGGCGGGGCGCCCTTCCACCCCCTGTGGCCGGGCTGGGCGGTGCCGGGGGCTGGCTGCAGGCGGAGGAAGAGTCCAGGATATTCCTGAATGAACGTCTCCATCATCACCCCACACCTCCGCCCGGCGCCCGCCTCCCTCCCGCCACTCGCCGGTGTCGCTTCGAGGCGCAGCCAGTTTCTATAGCGACGGCGCTGATCCGCGGCTCTTCCGAGTAGTAACAAAGCCGCCCGCCCGCTGCCGCGCCGGAGCTGAAAGGGGACGAGGCTCCCTCTCCCGAAGACACCCCGCTCGCTTGCGGCGCCCGGACAGGTACGGAGCGAGGGGCTCTTTCTTCAGCGGCTGCCACCCGCCCCCTGCGCGGTCGGGCCATCGCCATGTGGCCGCGGTGCCCCAAGCCAGGCGGCGGGGCGCGGGGACCTGCCGCGGGGTGACGGCTGCGGGAGAGGCTGGGCGGCGGGCGTCGTCTGAGAGGAGGAGAAGGACGCGTCCGCGCCCGTGGCACCTGATAGGGGGGAGCGGGGAGGAGTGCCGCAGGTACGCCGGGCGGCCCCGCTCCGACTCCGCCTGGGCAGGGCCGGGGGCGCAGCGGCAGTTCAGCGCCCGGATCGCCGCGGCTTGGCGGGGTGGGCCCGGCGGGTCGCCTCCACCGTCCCGCGCCGGCGTGAATGCAGCGCTGGGAGGGGGGGGGGAACGACACGGGCGGGCTCCGCGCCCTGGGCTGCAACCGGTGGGCTTGGCTTTGCCTCTTGGCCGAGGGCATCGATTCCCTTCCGCGGTTAAGATCACCCTCGATAATAGTGGTGGTGGTGGTGGTGTTGGCTTTGCCCCCTTGGAAATTTGGGGGTTACAAAGTTTGATTTGTTTAGTTTTATAAAGTAACGTTGAATAGGGTGATAGCTTTAAAATGCGCTGCTTAGTTTAAGAAAAAAAAATCAAAAGGATTGATTGGTATTGAAGAAATTACTGCTTCTTTTTAGGAGTAAGCGTACCAAAAGGTTTTACACAAAATGAGTCTGTAGCTTTCAAAGCCAGCTTAGCTCATTCGAAGACGGAGCCACGGTAAAATTGTAGAGGTGATAAAGGCGTGCTTATCTCGGGCAACCAAGGTTAGTTAAGAATAAACCACCTTTAGCCCCTGAAATTCTCGTGTCAGAGGGTCGATGAGAAGGTCATTAGCGGGAATGAGTTGCCTGACCGATGTTTGTAGTGACTATATGAATAACATTTGAATCGTAGTGACTACAAATAACCATGCATTTCAACAGAAGTTTAAAATTCAGAGCAACTTCCCAGTGATAACAGAACTGCTGACCTTGCATGATGAGGTCCTAAGGAGCAGCCATTAAGGTTCATTGCTGAATGATTTAGGAAATAAATTAGTCGATGGGCCAAGGCAAAGTTGTACTGTGGCATGTATGCAGCCAGCAGGATGCTGTAGATGAGAATCTTCTTGGATATGAACAAGAGAAAACAGGGAAATAGGATGTGAGATGAGGAGAGTGTGGCTATCATAGTTACTGAGTGGGCGGACAAGAATCAAAATTTTAAGTAGTATGTACTGTATATATCAGATTTGATATTCAAAACACTATACATAATGTAATACCAGCATATTGGAACCCAAAGGCTAAATATTGACTGCAAGAAGTTTGAGAAGTATATAAAAATAGTGACTGTTAAATGAAAAGTGGAGCTACTGTTACCATCTAAGTAAACGCTGTGAAAATATTTTATAGTGTGGAAAGAGAAGATGCAGCTCTCTTTAGCAATCATGAATACAAGTAGCATATAAACTGTAGACAGGCTTCTCTTGCAAAAGATGTTTAACTGAAATTAAGTTTTAAATAAGGGTTAAACAATTCTGAATATAAAAGTTAAATGAGTAATATCAGCAATAGATACAATGGAATTAAGATATAGTTTGTTAAAAATAAAATCACAAATAAACAGACAAACAGAAGTGGAATTTCTTATGTATATTGATTGTAGTGGTTTGCTCAGTGTTTATAAGTGTTTGTCCTTTGCTTCTTTCAGAAGCGCCACAACAGTTGTTTTGTTGAAAAAGTTATAACCTTCTGAATGACCTCTGTTTTTCATGCAACACTGAATAGCAAGCTCTTGAGTTTATTAAATGTGTAAAAATGGGGACCTCAGATTAGTTTAGCATGATGGAAAATCACATTTCAAGACCATACTCTGGGCTATCTGAAATTGAATGCACCTAGTAGGAAATAAAAGGTCAGCTGTATATAATAAAGACCTGGGGAGTTCTATTCCCTTAGCTGTGTGGCAGGGAATGAGAAACATCAGAACTCAATATAATCTTGCCCTGAAAGCTGAAGGGATACGCAACATATTTACGTTTAACGCTTCCATGTGGTATTTCAGTCTTGAAGTTGTTCCATGTGGAACAATTGCAGACTCCACTTGATGAAGTTTATTAGGGATAAAAACAATGTATTAGTTAGTTGGGGCAGTACCAGGAAAGAACCCAATAGCCTACTATAGATAATATGTCCTGTAATAGGCTCTGACATGTGTAAGAGCTTCTAATGGTCTGAACAGTTCTAGCACTTAGATCACAGCCTCTCAGAGTGTCATTTCACACCTTTCTGATGCTCCTCAGTCCAGACTAGGTTTACAGGAAGCCTGTTCTTAAATTGTCATGAAAGTGTCCTCTATAGCTGTGCACTCTGTACAGTGACATAAGGCCACTGCAGGAGTCTGCTTGCCAGTTTTCCTCTTGCTTTAATCAGTCCGAGTTTAACGTGTTCGTCTATATACTAGGTTTGATGACTCTGTTAAACGTTTTTCTGGAGATGTGTGTGCACCTGCTGAAGCCAGTGACACTTACCACCTGCTGTCTAGAGACTGGTTTCAGTCCTTCCAGCAATGTTGCTAAGGACTATTAGGGATCCTCAGAGAGCAAAGGTTGGGAAATTCTCCTGTGGCCTTTGCACATGTTGTGTGCTGAAGCGCTTCCTATCCAATATAAACTACTGTTCTGACAATAACAGTATTGGTAGATGTGTACCTTAGAGTAGTGTAACATATGATAACTGTGACTTTCTAGTGTAAAGAAAACATTTGCAAGTGTGAGTGCTGTGGTAAACTGCAAAGAGCTCAGGCCTCCTGAAAACATACCTTAGGTTTCAAATTCATATGCAAAGATACATAAAGGAGTACAAGATACGCAGCTTTTAACCTATTACAGCTCTACAGTTGTTTAAACCCAATCTTCTGTGGTTTCATTCAGCTTGGTTTTCCTGCAGACATGATGTAGTGAAGCATTTTAGTCATAATAAGTGCCGTAAGTAAACATACCTTTCCTTTTCCTGTTATATCTTTTTCACTATTGACAGATGAGTCCAGTTTTTCAGATCTGATGGTAGCTTACAGCTGAGTTATTTTGCAATGAGAGGATGTTCATGTGCAGGCTTAACTTCAGTAGATTTCCAAATGGGCGGAAGTCTGTGGTAACTCTCCAGTCAGAAGTCTTTTATTAGCTGTCTAGACAAGATCTACACAAACATTCTGTAAAAGCTTAGATTACACAACAGCAATTTAAGTATAGTCCAGGTAGTGTGAAAACCTGAGATGCTCCAGTATCTCCACAGTATTGAGCAGAGACTTGATATTTATTAAGGCTTTACCTGTTATCTGTTGCCATTCCCAGGAAATCTAGCCTAAGTGTAACAAAGTTATTCTATGATAGACTGGGGTTCACAAGCATTTTGTAGATATGTATTGCCTTTGGAAGCATCATCTATAAAGATTACTAATGATGGTGCTGCAGTGTTCAGAAATTGGGGAATGGCTGGGGATGGACTGTCTTATCTTTCTGCTTTCCTGCCTCAAGAACTGTCCAAGTTACTGGGAGAAATGGCAGCCTGGCAGAAAGAAAGGAGTGTGATAATCTGGGTTTGAGAGCAGCCGTATGGAAACCTGAAAGAACCTGAAGGTTATGGGCCTGCAGTGAGGAACAAGGTGTGGTTTAATCTGTAGCCCATGAGAGTTACCTGGGACTGGCATGAGGAGTCAGGTTGAGATGGGACTGGGACAGACTGGTGGAGGAGACCCAGACAGGAAAATCTGTAGATATTAGGCTGTGTGCTCCCAGTGGATGGCCCCCTTAGGGGCTGCATTTTTTTGTAAGCCTTCAAGGCTTTATTGTCAATATCTGCGGCAAAAGATATTGGTCAGGAAACCCAACCTTTCAATAATTGTTTGAGGGCAGCTGGTGTTCCAGGCAGGGGAGCTCATCTTGGCAGACAGTTCATGGGAAAGAAGGAAAACTCCTGTTTCAGATGATAGATGGATAGCCAGTCTGTAAATCCCAGGCAGGAGATGTGCTCCTGTGAACAGAAAGGAAATATTCTCCTCTTGGTGACTCACAATCAGTGACCTGATCAGAGTCTGCTTGAAAAAGCATCTGACCTTGAAGCTTCTACTGTGGAATAGCTTTACGTGAAGGTATGTCTTGACCCCTGAGGAGCTGCCCTGCGGGTGTTTACAAAGAACCTGCAGAAGTCATTTGTCTCCTCATACATGATGGGGGATGTGGAGTGTCTCCACGGTAGTATTCTGTGGTGCAAACAAACCTCAAGCTGATACTGGCCTTTCACTGTTTAAACAATTCCTACAAGTAAGTAACTCTCAAAAAAGCTTGAGAAGGCTTACTAGGGCTTCTACCGCTATTGAAAATATTCGGCTTATTTAACTAGAATTTTGTAGTAACACCTTAAGCAGAAATTTTGTGTAGTATTTGAATCACCCGTTGTCCAGGTGGAGTGTTGTATAACGTGTAATGAGGGCTTTTATTTTCCTGTACCTTTTCAGTTCACTGAATTACAGTCATATGCTGTTAAAGTGCCAGCCAAATGAAAGTCAAAGAAAGAAACAGTGCTGTGTTTGGTGCTAGGTACAATGTGTGGGTTGTGGGGTCACAAATTAAACAATGAGAATAAACCAAACCATTCACTATAATCGCAAACTATCCCGCACACTCAATGAAGCTTCCTGTGGAAGAAAATTATGTGCAATTGTATGACTAAAACTGTATTGTAATACATATATTCAGTGGAAAGCTGATGTTTTGTAATGCTGTAGTACTTGGCTTTGCTTTCAGTATATTACAGACATTTTACTGCGTCCAGTAAATCAAAGAGTGCTTTTGTACCTGATGCTTTACTCCCATAATCAAGTTGCCTCTTATTCTCTGATAAACTAAACAGATTGAGCTCTTTAAAGCCTTCACTTGAAGGAGTTTTATTCAGCTCCTGAATAATTTTTTTAGTGACAATCTCACTGGTTTTGGAGAAACTGTCCAATCTCTCAAGATCCTTTATAGAATGTGACTATCAGAACTATGCAAAATATCTTTGATTTACTCTTACCAAAGCATAAATGGTACTGGTATCTGGAGCTAAAAAATAGCTATGTTTCCCTCCTCACTCATCCCATGTTGCTAAGTCCATGTTGCTAAGATCTCATATGCAGTGATTTGTCCTCTGTGATTTCTGTATGTCCCTGCTTGTTGCTGGGGGTGTTGGACTAGATGACCTTTAAAGGTCCCTTCAAACCCAAACTATTCTATTCCATTATTCTGTATCCTTTCAGATTATTTGTTTTGCACTAGACAGTTCCCTATTCTCAAGGGCTGGTTTGTTATTTCCAGGCTGTGTATCAGGTTGTATTCAGGTACATTTTGTTTCAATGAGCCTGTTTTGCCAAATAATTCTGTCCTCTTAATTATTTACTTTTCTGCCATATTTTTGTGCAATTCATATAATTTATCAGAGGTTATTTTATATTTCCCTTAAGTCCACTAGTAAAAACACTTATTAGCCTAGTGCTCAGCTCCCCCTTTAAAACATGTCTAGTTGATGATCCCTTTTGGCAGTCATTATTGGAGAAATGTGTGTACATTTTATGACTACGTGCTTCATTCAAAGTGTGACGTACTCAGTTTATGTGAATAGTCATACCTTTCTCTATAGCAATCTGATGCAATAATAATGCAACTAGAAAGCACTTTATTGTTAAAGAGAAATGCTGTTTTCTTTTGTTAATTCTTCATTTTGTTTGTATCACTGGAGCAAGGTTCTTAAGTGGAAGCACTCTGCATTTTTCAATATTCTAATGTATGTCTCCTTTCTTCTATGCCATCTCCATGGCAGACCTGGAGTTGTCTTATCCTCCCTGTAGGTCTCTGAGATAAATCCTTGATGTTTGTGCTATTAAGTTTAAGGTTGACACCTTGAATAGGGCTTGTTAAGTAAATGAAAATGAAATACAATGTTACTAGTCAGTTCTATCAAAAAAGACCAAAAGATCTGTCTAAAAGGGAGAGCACCTTCTAGCAGTATAGCTCATGTTATTCCTCACTGGCCATTAGGTGGTATTTTACACTTCAGAAGGCAGGCTTGGATGCCTACTCATTTAAAGATCATCTAACAATGAAAAAATTCATTTCTGTCCCTCTCTGTCTTTTAAAAACTAGGAGCAATGTAAAACCTGTCCTTTATACCATAAGTTTCTCTTAGCCTGAAATATTAATACCTTAAAATACCATGTCTCCCACAGGACAAATTGAACAGAGAACCTACCAACGATGAATCATCTGGTTTTGTTAGTAGTCAGACGCTTTGGTCATGGATGGATGGATGGATGGATAGATGCATGAATAGATTGAGCCCAGAGCTGTAAGCCAGCCTGGCAGCTAGTAGGTAAGTCCCTGGAAGCTCACCAAAATGTTTTCTCAAGCATCATATCTCTGTTTTACATGTTGTATTTTGCCAAATCATATCCTAGAATAGGTATCTCTGAAGACAATAGGATCACACTTAAGCATATATCTACTTTTAGTTGAACTTAAGCATGTGCATACTTGTATATGCTCAAGTAGGGATCTGAAGGAGAATGCTTTCTTGGGTGGGGAGACAGAGAAAACAGCTCTTACAAGACTTGGAGTGAGGCAGAGCTGAAAATTACTGGTGTGCAGGTGATTTAAGTATGAAGTAATAATATTGCATGGTTATGGATCCCACAAAAATCCTACATGAAGTATATTTCTAGTAAATATTACATAATAGGTCTCTTAAGAATAAATGAAACAAACTCCCTTACATGGCTATCTTGCCTGTCTATGCCACCTTTCAGGCAAGTTAAGAAAGCATTTAAACCCCTAGAATGGAGAAACATTGAGTGCAATGATGTCTCCCTGCCTTTGCCTGCTATACCTCCCAAGATAGGTTGTCCTACAGCAGTGTGCTGTGCTGGTGGGTCTGGCAACATTTGCATTATGAAGCCTCTTTTTATGAACTTAATGTAACATGTTCAAAACATCTGCATCATGCTTGTGTGGTTTTTAGGGACTGAGGATAATTTTCCATGTGTCCATCAGTGTAAATGTAAGGCTTCAGTAAGACATGCTGACATAGTCTTATTAAAATATGACTTCTCATTGACTTCGGGACAGGGAAGAGGAAAGCATGTCACAATAAAATATAGAAATAAACTTGCTGGAGTTCTTTTTGATGCAGTTTTGTTATTCAGATATGGCTATGAATAAGTTGAACAGCCTTCTGAACTAAGTTCCCTATTAAAAATTAAGTCTTCCACCTATTTTTCTGTTTCGGTAAAATTATTCATAAAAAATGTTAGTTGTGCCAGTCTTGTCATTTGTTTTCAGTTTTAATAACATCAATATGATGCTTGACTCACTCTTTGTCATGTATATAGATAGCTCCTACATTGTGTGTATTTGAAATTCTGTAGGTCTCTGGAGAGGGTAACAGCTGTAGTTCTAGTCCATGCACGAACACACGTGCACACATTTATATTTGCTACCCTCTCAAGAGAGCTATCATATTTTAAATTATGCAAATATACACACATGTATGTTTATATTTGCCAAGTAAACTAAGGGTGTAAGTTGACATCACAGATACATGTATGGAAATTGCCTACTTACACTGCTGTAAATTACTGTACAAGCAAGTTCATCCCTGTCACCTTTTCTTTGTCTGTTGCTCAAGGAAAAGAAACAAATTCACACAACATGATTAATAAAGAGCAGCTGTGGACATAATTCTATGCATGTCAAAAAAAAGAAGTATCTATCCACTAACTGTAAAATAGTAACAAACAATCCTGCTGCATATTTGATGCATCTTCCTTTTTACTGCTTCACTCTGAACCTCTTTCAGTAGCAGTGTTGTGTTGTTATGCTTAGGTTTTTAACACCTTTTTTTTTTTGCTTATGGTCTTGTCTATGCGAGTACAGAAAACCCAACCACGCTGAAACACAGATAGTTTTTTAAAAGGTATTTCAAAGCAGTATCCTAGATGATTTATTTTGCTGCTCACACACTAGCCGTGTTAGCTAAAGCACTGGTGAAGAGCAAAAAGAAGGATGAAATAATGCTATGACAAATAATAACTCCTGGGAAACAACAACAAACAATACAGTGATCAGCGCATGACTGTATTGGAAGGTAAGGTTAAAATTCACCCTATTACTTCTGGCCCAGAGCTCATTTGATGAGGTTTGAAGAATTGCATTTGTCTTGGGACGTTTGGAGTATTGACAAGGGGCAGCTTCAGTCAACATTTGCTTTGATGTTTCTATATGCATAAAATTGAAATTCAAGTGTGTATGTGTGTGTTACAATAAGGCACGTAGGTGATGGATTAGATTCATTATTTGTTATTTGAACATTAGCAGTATCTTTGATGAAAAAGATGCAATACAGCCTTTGCTGTGCAGAATTTAGGATCTAAACAGACGGAAGTGCAGCAGGTAGGGTATGTCAGAAAATTCCAGAGAAGGAGATTAATATCATTTGACATCCGTTTTGAGTCTAAATGGATTGGAATGGTTTGCTGGGATTTGTGCGGCTTCTTATTTGTTTTTCTGTGGTAGGAAAGAAGATATGGGTCTTAGGGGAAGAAACATGAATTAGGAGTGGGATTTCTGGACTGGCATGCGGATAAGAATGAATTTCTATCCTGGCAGTATGCCTGTAAAGTCCCTAACTTTGCGTAGTGTAAAATACGCTGCAATCTTTAGATCAAATTTTCTAGAGAATACACTGAGTGTGGAACACACAGATAATCAGCAGAGTCTGAAAGACTTGTAGAAAAAAATCAAACTGAAGCCATATATTGCAAGATCATATTATTCTGAAAGAAGAAACAAATCTTGGGAAAGCAGTTTCATCAGCATTCATGGGATTGAGCAGTGGCACAACTCCTGTGAAGCCTGCTCCAGAAATGACATCATGTGTCTGCCATGACATACTAGGCCGCTCAGACTGGCACACAAACACTGAGCAGCTGCCCTCCAGAAATCCAGTTGCATATCTCTAGCAAAAGAAAGACTCTAGTCAGAGATATGAATGGTTATTCAGCCATCTGCAGAAAGAAATGCAGTGTGCCAGGCAGCAAACAGCAAGCATCATACATTTACTGATGAGCAAATCTACGATGGGGAAACCACAAGGGACTGTGTTGATAGGAAATAGGCAAAAATTGGTGGTCTGTTTCATTAAACCCATGGGTTCCAGTGAGGACACTGACAAAGCTCACTTCCTGTGTACAGCTCCAGATGTCCATGAAGATCCCCACCCCCAAAATTTTTAATTCACATAAGCAAAGAAAGTCACTGCCACAGCAAAGATGGGTTTTGGTCTGCTGGAGGTCTGAGAGGAAGGTAACTAAAGCAGTAGACCTCTGCTCTGCTTCCCCACAGTGCCAGCTGCCCTGGAAAGACTGAGGTTGAATGTGGAAGTTGCATTCCTGCAGCTGCTATTAATGTTCTCAGACAGGACAGGCAAGATATGCACAGGCCACAGAAGCTTTAGGGTTTCTCTTAGTTACATTTGGAACCGGAAAGGGCCATTGTTAATGAATAGAAGAGTATAGAGACATCTTTGATCCCCTGCCTAGACTGAGTGAATTAGCTAAATGCTGAATATCTCGCATTGTGCCATCATTATTGTTCATCATTGTGACCGGCTGGAAAGAGCAAACATAACAATTATGAGGCATTGTGATAATGGCACTTTGTCTCAGCTTTAAATTGTTTAAACAAAGCTTCTCTTTTATTTAAGTGACTCCCTGATAATTCTGTTAAATCTTTCTTTTCTTCAGTCTCGAATCATCATTTAAATAGAGACATCTTGTGTCCTCTGCCCAAAGTGGGCTTACAGGCAGGGAATGTCTGTGTTGGTATATGTGTGTTGCTCTTTCTCCCCCCATCAGTATCGCTTTAGAGTACTGACTGCAGGGCACAGCTATGACTGAATATTTTTCTTGAAATGTCAGACAAGATTATCTAGCTAAATATTATTGTACATATTTGATACTTGTAGATGAAAACATTATTTTGTCCAGATTATTCAAATAAATGTATTGAGCGGCTTTTCTTCTGCATTTGCAGAAATGTGGTGTTTATTCCAGTTGAGCAACAGTCACTAGCAACAGTATTCTTTCTGATGTGGTCTTTTTTATGAGGAGATAGTAGTGCTCATTCTCAATGTGAAAACTACAATTTCAGCTCTTATCCTGAAGTATCACATATTTCTGTATTTTCCCTAATATATAGTAATGGATTTAGAAGCATGGAAGCATAATGTTTGAGGCAACACACTACCTCCTCCGTAACTCTTCCTGGAAAATGCACTGTATGTTAGACCTGCTTTTGAAAATCAGAATCATAAAAAAATATTATCCAGAGGGGTTGTAGACCTCCCATCATCACTGGGTATATCCAAAACTAAAATGGACAAGGCTCTGGGCAGCTGTAACTCCAGACCTGTCTCTAGTTCTGTTGAGAATAGCAGTGGGAACCTTGATTGGTGTGAATAGGGTTGTGTTGGTCTGGAAGCACCAAAGTAACAATGGGAGAAGGATTGCTGGAATGCGAGAATGGCTGTTGATGGCACTGAGGTTAGCAGGTCATTAAGATAACCGCACACATTTACACCACGGCTTCTCAGGGAACCCACCTAAGGAGAGAAGTCGGTAAATCCTGATGACTCACAGAGGTGGGACAAGAAGAGATTTTTTGCTGTTGGTGTCTAAAGGCAACAGAAAGTCACATCTAGCAGCAGCATGTGGTTGCCAACCTAAAAAGAAATGAGAAGTTAGGATAAGGACTGGATAGCCGGCATTCGTTGTCCACCCTGTCATTGAAAGGAATGTATCTCCAGTATGAATGCTAGATAGACTATTTGGCTACATATGCCGTGGTGCTTGTGAGTACATAGGTTAGAGTGATACCAGCACTCTTGCTCATTGAGCTGTACTAAACTATTGGTACTCAGTGTTGCAATATTGTTTTCTAGACTTTTCAGGAAATAAAGTTTGAAGCAAATGACCTCCAGAGGTTCCTTCCAATCCAAATTACTCTGTGATTTTGCCACTTGAATGCAGGAATTAGTGGATTATGTTCCATGATCTCCACTGCACAGGAGGTAAGATTAGTATAGTTTTATGGTCCTTACTTAAATCTTACATTTTTGTCTGCATTTCTTCCAACTACCCATGTCCTCACAGGTAAGGATTAAAGTTTTTTTTTTTTTGTTTTGTTATATTTTTTTTAAAAATGGATTTTAGTCACCCAAATACAAGGGAAAACAAAAACCAACCAAACCAACCAACCAAACCAAACCAAAAAAACAAACAAACAAACAAAAAAGAACAAACCAAAACAGCAAGCCACCACGCAAGCCCCCACTCTCCCCCAGGCATTTTCAGAGCATAAAAGTTAGTTTCATATTCGCAAGAGCGGTGATTTAGACTGTCTGTTAAATAATCTTGTACTTGAAAAAGTTCCATTCAGTGGATCCTTTTGATCAGAAGGCTGTAAACTTCTGAAATTCAGAGAGCTGAGATTGAATTGTCATCTCAGTTGTTGTCTGAGACAAGATCAAACACAAACAATGAGGATCATTGTGTCCACTTAAAAAAAAATACAGTGCCCATACTGAACTCCCCAGTTTGCAGACCTCATCTTGTCATGTTCTTCACTGTGCTGAGCTGATTGTATGAGGCTGGACCCACAGATAATCTCTCTCATTCCTATGTACTCTTAACATTGCTGTACATACAGAATGGAACCATGTTGCTCTAAATCATGCATGTCTGTCAGCTCCATCACAGACCAGGAGTTGTGCTTCTTGGTTTGCTTGTTGTCTGAGAAAGTACTGATTCTCCAAAAATACTAAAGGGTCTGCTAGAACCCCATCATCCACACCTTGTTCAGCCTTTAATAGAATTTCCTGTTAAAAGACAAAGTCATTTGTCATGTTTGTGGTCTGACAACTCGGGAAGTAAATATTGTGAATGCATCTCTTCCCTGCATCCCTCTTTTCCCTCCCCAGTCTTTCCTGTAGTGTTTCTTTTTGTTTGTTTTTTACTGTTTAGATGGTTTGGGGGGTTATGGTTTTTTTTTTGTTTGTTTGTTTGTTTTCTGGTGTGTTTTGTTTGTTTGTTTGAGGTTTGTTTTTTTTTTTAGTAGCTACTAACACTTCTGATTGCTCTTGGTAGTGAGAGAATTTGGTTACAGAGCAAAATAAAGCAGTTTGCTCCTGAATTCTGCTCTGGGTGGTTCTCTAAAATTTCACTGTAGCTATTTTACTTGTATTTCCAGTATCAAAATGAATTCCACATTTTCTATCTACATCCTCTCCTGCTTTATAATTCTGTTACTGTTTACCATGTTCATTCTCATCAGTGTGGTGAGCACCAGAAGTCATGTCTGATTTCTCCATTTCTTTTCATATTCAGATTAGTACCAAATTTTCCTATCATCTATTCTGGTATAAAACACAAATTTTTCCTCACCTGTCACCTCTGCCTATGCCTTAATACTCTGTTACTTTGATTCTGTAACTTGTAATACGTAATCTACTCTTTCCTAGCTGACTTGGCATTTCCATTGCTTCCCTTCCCCTTATCTAAACATCTTGTATCTTTCTTGCCTGTCTTCCTAAATCATGTAATTCTGCATCTTTGAAACTCTCTCCAAATTCACGTTGTGTATCAACTCAAACTTGGCTTTATTACATTCAAACCTTCTCCCCATGTATGTGCTTTCTGATGTGTTCCCTAGAGTGCCAATTCAGAAGCTGGTTTTCCTAAATATTCCCTCTGTCCAGTCCATACATAAAACTCTCTGAGATTCATCATAGTCACTGCTCTCTCTTTTCTCTGATTCAAAACTCTGTTCTGTAAGGATCCCAAAACTGAGGTAGCAATCTTGTAAATTGTATTCTGTGCTCAGTTACATTCATGCAGCATCAGTAAGTCAGTGGAACTCAGCTCGGTGGCTTTGCACAGGTATAACCAATAGCAAGATTCACTGCGGAGTTCTAGGAAAAGATAGTGGGCATTTACTGTGGAGGTCCATTTTTGTTCCATTTAGATCTAGTGCTTAATGATGTTGTTATTAAGGTGTCACTGCAAGATGTCTTGTAGTCTTTAAAGACATTGTAATGCATAGTGCTCTGGTTGCATTTTATGCGTAGCTAAGTTAAAATCTTACCATGTGAAATGGTTAAGGATTGTTATTGATGGTGAGGGGAATCTAAAGCTGTTTCAGAACCACTGGTGTAATAAGCCAGAGGTTCCACCTGGTATACTCAGAGAATATGAGACACATCCGAGGCTGTAATGTCTCATTTAGACATGATACCAAGTCTGTGTGAGTGTATCAAATACTTCATTCACATAATGTTCGATCAGTAAGTCCTTCAGACTTGATATCCTGCCAGTGGGGCTGCCACAATTCATGTACTCATAAACACTGTCCTTGAGATCTTGTCTGCTCCTTTCTGCACAACCCAGTGTATTAAAATAAGCCTATCTTTTTGGATATGGAACAGTATCCTGCAGTTTTTATGAATTACTAGATGCCATCATAGTTTTTTACTGATGATATTCCCTGGTTGGAGTCATGTATTGTAAAGTACAGTTGTTTCCAAGATTTAATAATGTGACAATTAAGAAAACACAACTTTTTTTCAATAACAGAGTGTCCTGGGTTCAGCAGTAGCAGTCACGTTTCTCCTTCGTGGTAGCTGGTGCAGTGCTGTGTTTTGACTTCCAGCCTGGGAACGGTGCTGGTGATGCCGATGTTTTCGGTTGTTGCTAAGTGATGTTTACCCTGACCAAGGACTCTGTGAGGCTCATGCTCTGCCAGGGAGGAGGGGAAGCCGGGAGGAAGCAGAAACGGGGCGCCTGCCAAAATAGCCAGGGAGGTATTCCATACCACAGCACGTCATGCCCGGGGTGGGGGGTAACTGGGAGTTACCCAGAAGGACATGGGCTTCCAGGTGGGACTCGTTATTTTCTCTTATCGTTGGTGGTAGTGGTGGTGATTTGTGTTGTACATTGGTTGCTGGACTGTTCTTGTCTCAACCCGAGGGAGTTGCACTCTTTTGATCCTCCTCCCTGTTCCTCTGGGAGCGGGGAAGGGGAGAGCCCCGGGGGGGGGGCTCGATTGCTCTCAGCCTGGCACCACTCACTGGGAGTGAGTGAACAAGCTGTCTGGCTAGGGTTTAAACCATGACACAGTGCCAAGTAGAAATTAAACGGTTGTTTGTGTCATTCTCCTAGTCAATTCAGTCTGACTTTTGCCTCAGCAGGGCTTGCACAGTTAAGAGCTAAATAAATGGGCCGGTAACAAGCTGTAGAAATTTCACAAAGGATTTTGTTCTATGAAACAGTAACCAAGACAAGTGGAGACCGGTGATGAATAGTGTTCCTCAGGGGTTGGTATAGGGACTGGCGTTGTGTAACATCTTTGTTGGTACCATGGTCAGTGGGATCAGATGCATCCTCAGCAAGTTTGCTGACGACATCAAGCTGTGTAGTGTAGTTGACATGCTCGAGGGAAGGGATGCTATCCAAAAGGATGATATCCAAAAAGCCTTCACAGGCTTGAGAGTTGTTGGTTGACAGCCAACGTTGGAACTAGGTGATCTTAAGGTCCTTTCCAACCCTAACTCTTTTGTACTTCTATGAGTCAATGACAAGAAGGTCAGCATGAGCTGGTAGGGTGCACTTGCAGCCAGAAAAGCCAGCCATATCCTGGGCTGCATCCAAAGGAGCATGCCCAGCAGGTTAAGAGAGGTGATCATTCCCCTCTTCTCCACTCTTGTGAGATGCCACCTTCAGTACTGCATCCAGCTCTGGGGCCCCCAGCACAAGAAGGACGTGCACCTTTTGCAGTGAGTTCAGAGGAGGATCACAAAGATTATCAGAGGGCTGGTGCACCTCTCCTGTGGAAACAGGCTGAGAGAGCTGGCCTTGTTCAGCCTGGAGAAGAGAAAGCTCAGGGGACACCTTATAACAGCTTTCCAGCACCTAAAGGGGCCCTACAGGAAAGCTGGAGAGGAACTTTTTACAAGGGCATGTAGTGGCAGGACGAGGGGGAATGGCTTTAAACTGAAAGAGGGGAGATTTAGATTAGATATTAGGAAGAAATTCTCTACTGTGAGGATGGTGAGTCACTGGAACAGGTTGCCTGCCCATAGAAGCCGTGGCTGCCCCATCCTTGAAAGTTCAAGGCCAGGTTGGATGGGGCTCTGAGCAACCTGTGGAAAGGGGGGTGTTAGAACTAGATGATCTTTAAGGTCCCTTCCAGCCCAAATCATTCTATGATTCTATGAAAAACATACAGTATTCTTCTAGTACTTAATTCTATCAGCTTTCTTTCTGTTACCCCAATAAATAGGAATTTTGCCTGAGAAAGGCCTGCACATATATCCTAACAAAATATTTGCATCCAAGAATTAATATTTACTATCATTTTCCAAGCTAACCTTGGTGAGTAAATTTGATGAACAAATCCCTTAAGTTTTTCTTAACACATCTTTAGAACTACAGGCTACCATATGGAAAGCAACAGGAAGAAGGCAATTTTTCCAAAAGAAAGGGCTTTTTTTTAACAAAAGCCTATGTGATTTGCTCACATTATATTGTCAAGTGTTGCATCTCTTTTAGTTGAATCACTCTTGATTTACACAAGAGGATCTAGCTTACAGTATTTTGTTGAATGAATTATCAATATGCCCTGTTGCTGTTCTGCTAATCAAAAGGCTTTTAACCACGCTGGCCTAAAAGTAAAGAATACCTTTATTGCTGTACTATATAATAAATTGCATCACTGAAAACGCTGTACAGAGCTTTTAATTTTGTGCATTTGAGTGGGATCATTGAAAGCTAAAGGTTTAGGCATAGGTGGCATGATACCACCTTTTGCTGTAGAAATAGAGTGACTCATCAATAAGGGCAAAATCGCCACTAAGACTGGCTGAAGTAAGTCAGAAATTTCACTCTGTATCATTTGGTCAAAAGAATTTCACCAAGCGGCAGGCATGTTCTGGCAGTCCTTTCTCGGATGCCCTTATTCGGTCCAGTAGGACTACACAGATAGCTCTCATTTATCTGAATACATGCACTGCATTTGTTACAAGAAAGCAGCTTTGTCATCAACAATGAACCTTAGGTGTGTATTTAGAATTTGTTTGTTTGTTTAAAGCAATAACTGTTAGTATATTCAACTAATCTGCAATCTGGAAACTTTTGTTTGAATTCCGTGCTTATAGTTTGCTCATTTGACTTGATCTGATATATAAAACTGGCCTTAGCTGTGTGATGTGTGGCTGGCTTTTTGCAGCGGTCACTCGGTCTGGTGAATATGCTTAACATAAAATTCACTGTTGGTGTAGCTGTTTCTCCCTCAGTCCACCTTTGTCTTATGATCTGTTCATATAGCGGTGTTCTGTGGTGGGCATTCAGAAACAGGAGTCTCTCAGGGAAAAGGCATGAAAGTTAAAGTTTTCCAAGCTTGCTACTGCAAGCCTTTTTGCTTCAAACGCACAAGATGTTAATGTGCATGACAAAACTTGAGATGGCATCTGTAAGGAGGAGCACAGCCAGACATGATGTGAACAGCAACATTTGTGTAAAGTTTTGAGTAAGTGGAGATGAAAGTCTCCATTTTCCATGGTTACTGATCCTCTGAGATACCCTTTTCAAACTGAGACGTATCTAAGTTTGGAAACTCTGAGAATGAAAGGTAAAACTTTTTCTGTCTTCTAGAATATCTCCTATCACATTTCAGAATGCAGTCTTCTGTAGCTTAACACCCAGCACAGTGACAGCTTACAGATAAGCAATATATATTGGCACGGGTTGAAGACAAACCTCAGCATATTAGCATAGGATGATGAAGTGGGATGAAGTTTGGCTGAATCTTCTACAAACCAGATTAACTTAGCTCATCCTGAACTACATGTTCCAGTACCAGATCTGGCTCATTTACTATCAACACTGCACTGCAGTTTGAAGTTAGATGTGCTTGCTGTTGCAAAATATATTCACCACAGTTAATGGGAAATGCCTTTCAGGGTGGTTTTTCTTAGGGTGCACTTTCTGAGAGTCTTCCAGAAGCAGAGAAGGATAAATATGGCTCAGAAGTCCTCAAGTAATACTGTAATCATTTGACTCTAGAGGAGACACTAGAACTGGATTTTATTCAATTTCACAGAGCTCCTTCTGTCAAGAAGCCAAGCCTAAGGAAAAAGGTATATTTTAACTTGCTGCAAATTATGGGTCTGTGTTTGCAGAGATGTGAAAAAGTCAGATTCACAGTGGATGCAATGCTGCCTTTTGCACTGATTATTAATGCAGTACTTGTAATTTTATAAACTGTGGTCTAGTAGGCTAACAAACAGCAGTACACTCTACCTATACTTCATTCATGGAGCTTTCCATGCAAAAGTAACAGCATAAATAAAATCTAATGCTTCTTAGGTTCCAAATAAATACTATGTTTCTACAGGTGGGGGTTTGTTGTTTTTTGTTTTTTCATAGATCACCTGTTCTTTGCAAATTGTATGCATTCAGCACACTGGAAATGAAGACATAGTGGAATATGTGCTGTCCACTCATGTCTAGTAAATAAAGTCACTTGCACATCTCTCTAATTTTTTGAAACAGAGGCTTACGTAGTAGAACATTCAGAAACCTCCTATTCACTTGCTTAAGTAAAAGCAGAGGAGATTCCTTATTTAAAATACTTAAGAGAAAACTGTTGTTCAGAACATCTGGTATTTTAAGATGCTCTGGGTTATGTTTCTGTTCTATCAAGAAGTATTAGTAGAAGGCAAAAATTGTTTTTCATTTCCTGCTTTATTCTATAAGCTTCATCCAAGCTGCTCATTTGTGATACTGTCTAGAAAACCTGTTGTCCTTTGGAATACTTACTGAAAAGCTGATGTGTTGATTTTTATATTACATTAAATGAAATTCAGAACTTGCTGGTGTTACATTTTCTAGTTTTTCTAGCCTTTTATTGTGTGTTGCAAAACACTTTAACTGAAATCTGCATTCATTATTACCAGTTAAGAAAATACCAATACCTGGTTTCAGTTACTAATTTGCACTAAACCAGGTAAATAGGCAAGTGTAGTAACTCTCTATGGACCTATGTATTGCTTTTTAATCCTTTAGAATTCCATTTTATGTTCTTTCTTTATGTTTCGTGGTGATTGTTTTTTCCTTTCTTTCTAATTAGTTTAATATACAAGTTGTGTTTCTGAATATGCCTTGATTACTTCAAAAGTTTCTGAAGCAATGCTTTCCTCTCTTGGATTTTGTATTTTGAATATGCTCAACTGGCACACTTGAAACATTTTGGTTTAGTTTAACCCTTCAGTTGTTGTGGTTACAAATGGCATCAAAATGCTGTAGCTCCACACAAAGCAAAGACAATCTCATACCCTCCACTGAGTTTGTAAGACTTCACCAGCGTAACTCTTTTGGATGATGGAAAATTTGGAAAATCGAGGTTGTCCTTGTCCCAAAATAGAAACAGGCAACTCTTGCTGAAACACATTTTCTAACTGTGCAGATTTTCCAATTTTTTGCAGGTTCATATTGATCAGATTTAGACTTGATTGGATTAGCTGCTGTTGTGGGAGAATATTTCCATCAGAAACACTTGTGAGGAAGATACACTGCATTTTGAACTGGATTTTGATACACGTTATGGGCAAATTGACTGCTTTTTCCTGCTCTTCTTATCCAGTCTGAAGGGTGCTTCAGGCCTGAACATGCGCCCAGAAGTAGCACTAGTCTCGGGGCAACCTCTAGTGACCATTGTGCCTTCAGAAATACCCGGAGGATATAATATTTTAGCTCAGCAGCAGCAGATTCCTGTGTACTTTAGGAATGATGTAGGATGGGATGACATATACATAGTAAGTAGAGCCAATTTTTTTCTGCCCACTGAGGAAAATTTGACTTGAAGTTTGAGGTCTGGTGAGGGTTCGCACTTCAAACCTTAACTCTCAGGGGGACATTGAGACTACCATTGGAGAGGATTGTTCTTGGGAGAGCAATCGTACCAGTGTGGTTTCTTACAGAATGTAGTCTCTATATTGCTGTATACAGCATCTCAGCCCATGAAGGTTCTGTCCTTAGCTTGAAATACTCCATCCAGTAGTACTTAAGCTCTTTCTCTGACAGTTCATAATGCGTAAAAAAAAATATGCCACATTTCACTGCTAAATAGCTTGTTAAAAGCAGAGCAGTTCATATCTGTCTCCCTGAAGTTTAAGTCCTATATAAGCATTAATCTGAGCTGAGCAAAACTCATGAGCAGAACACTCCAATGATTCTGAGGCTGGTGGTGGCACTCCATGGAGCTCTGACAGCCCCAGATCATTCATAGTAGATAAAAAGATACATCCAGTCTGATACTGCTCTTGGTTAAGAGGATTCCTGTATTCCTTAATGGCATAAAATAAAAGCTGTGCATATAATCTGACACAATTTAACTACTTTCATACACTTCTTAAACACACAGTTTTATTTCATGTACCTGTGTCTAGAATAAGGGGTGCACATGCAGGAGATGTTCTTTGTAGTTTTGTAGTTTGTTTGCATGTAGCTGCCATGCAACTGTGAAGCCCTGCTAGATGGAAGCAGAGTTGCTGTGATGCTTCCTGTGGAATTAAAGTGGTGCTGCTTCATTTTCAGCAGAAACGCTAAAAAAAAAAAACCTAAACTAATAGATCATTTTCTTCTGTATTTTTCTTAAGACCATGAAGATTATAGACTGTAGTTTGCTTATAGTTAGTATATAAACCTAACATGAAGTGGTTTTGTCTTATTATTTGAGGGACCATTCATTGCCAAAGAAAAACAATTCTTAAAGTTAGCTAAAAATAAGACTGGTGCAGGGTGATAATAACAAGTGCTTGAAAATAAAAAAGTATGTAGTTAAAAACAAATTTGGTACAGTTCTAAAATTATTTCCCTTATGTATAAATCAGGTCAAATGGACTTTTTCCTGCAAGTATTTTGTAAGAGAGCAAAACATGTTACAGTCACAGTTAATGTCCCCTTACTGACACTTCTCTGTTGGAATCTCTCAGTTTCCATGAATGCAGTTGAAGACATACAATTTAGCTTTACCACATGTCAAGAAGATCTACTAATATTCTTTCCATAACAGCTGGGGGTTTTTTGTTTACTCATTTTTTCAATATATCAATAAGATTTTTATGCAACTTTTTTTTTCAGTTACATCATTGTAATTCTAGTCATATATAAAAATGTTGAGTGAAGAGGGAATTTATGCCAACTATTGCTATATTGGCAAAATAAAAATAATTTTGATCCCAGCAGTACTATTTTTAGATGTGCTTTAGGTGAACTAAATTAAATACTAAAATTACAGCTTAGTATATCCAGGATAAAGTATTGTTTCCTCAGACGTCCTCCTTTTCTTTTCGAGCTATTGGGTCTATCTGCAACATCAGTACTGAATACTTCAGTATCAGTCCTGCCCTGTATAATCTTCCACCTGTGTTCACTACCCTATTAAGATAAAATAGAAAATATTGTAAAGTCTTTATACCTGTTCATACCCCAGAAATGTCTGAAACTGAATGAGCCAAGTTAAACATACTTAAGTATTAGGCAGACTGCTTTTAATGACAATAGAAAAAGCAAGTACATCTTCATTTCAAGTCTATTCTGGGATTATTTTCAGCTCCATTAGGACAAGTATAATGCAATACTTGCTTTCTATTTTAATCTTATGTTGAAGGTTAATTGGAAATCATTATAATGAATTATTCTCCTGTGTGAAGAGAAATTTCTCACTGAAAGATGTAATCAAGATTATTTTTCTGTATTTTTTGTCTCACCTGGTCCCTCCCAAATTATATAACATAGAAAATATGTCCAAAGAAAAAGAATTCTGTCATATTTTGGGGATTTTACATTTTGTGTATGTTACTTAATAACTTCCACTACCACAGTCTTTTTTTATTAAAAAAGAAAAAGTTATTTTCTTGTATTTCTGGATTTATTTTAATTGCTTACTTTAATTCAGGCACACAATAGTAAACAAAACATGGAAGTAAACTTCTATAGTGTTATCTTCATGTATTCTGAAATTCATATTGGCTTTTAATAATGCCTAATTTAAAGAAAAATGCTAGACATGTCTGTAGGTCATATGGGTAAACATTTATGCCTGTATTAAGAAGCACTGGGAAGATTTTTATTTATTTATAGTTTTGTATCTTTTCGAATTCGTATTCTAGAATCCATGTCTTACAGTCTGTTCAGTTCTCAGAAGAGCTTCTAAAGGACATAAGCACTAAAGCAGAGAAGCAGAACTAAGTATTTGAGAAACTTGCCATAAACCACCCATTCTACCAAAAAGGAGAATGCGTAACCTTTCGCTAAAAGAATAGTAAGGTCATGAGTTCTATCGCAAAATATATTCTCACTGGAGTAGATAATTTCTTGGTTTCAGAGTCATGAAGGAAAAGCCATTGGCAGTGAGAAAACAGTACCAGAGAAAATGCTAAAACAGCCCAAGTAATCAGGTTGTGAAACAATTAAAAATCATTTTAAAAGGAATGAATTCTGTGTAACTAGCTTATTTCCAAAATTATGTTATCATTTTAAATACAAATTTCAAGACACTTCTTTTTACTTATCGATTTAGTGTAATTGTCTTTTTAAATCAAGACAGCTCTTAAGAGATCAGATCCTTTGCCCTTTATTCTTAAAACAGCTACAAAGCAACCTACAACCGTATGTCACATTAAGTAGTCATTCAGCATATTGCTATATAAATAGTTCATGAATTATATATGAGGGGAAAATTCTTAAGAAATATTGGAAGCGATTTTGCTTGTGTCTACAAGTCTAACTAAGAAAACATTTTTTTCTACATCACAGTCAGTTTTAAGATTCATATCGAGACTGTAGCAGCTTTAGCTAGAAAGAAAATAATTGCGGACAGTACATTTCAATAAGGCATTTGCTTTTATTCATATCGTTTTCTGGTACTACCTGACACCTAATGTGAGTTATTGGAATAACAAAAAAGTGTTGCAAATGGTATTGTTAAGAGGAAATGGAATCTGGTGGTGTGAATATGCACATGCAAAGGATATAGAAAGTGCCCTAAGAGCCAGTGTCACAATACTGAATAAACTGAACTTTGTGTTTGATGAAAATATCCCTGCTTACTTACTGGTGAGGGGAAATAAAAAAAAAACAGTAACTGCTGGTTTTGTAATTTTGTAACTGCTGGATTTGTAATTTTTCCAATATAAGATGGCACATTGCTATTGCATGACTTTTCATACTAAATGATCAGAGACCCGTGAACTCCACTTTGAATATGAAAAGCTATTTTGTCTTTCTGTAATATTGCAGAGGATTAAGGGAGATCAGGCAAGGACTAAATATTATAACAGTAACTTCTGATAGAAATACTTCTATTTCATATTAGTCTTTTGAGAAGCAGTCAGTAATACACAAGTATTTGCTGTATATTTGCTGTATATTTCCAGGGTTTCTCTTTTGTGCGTAGTTATTTAAGAAATAAGCTCATTACCTGTCCCATGGAAAACTATGTTTTTGTGAAAAGAATTGAGGCATTTTTCATAGCAGTTTGTAGAGCTGACAGTAAACCAAGCATGGATCAGTATGTCACATTCCGTAACTGTAGTGCAAAATCTCACATTGATTAGAGTTGACAGAGAATTGCCCATTGTTAAAACCCATCCAGTGTTAGCAGAAATGTGGCATGAAACAGGTTGAACATGTGATAGCTGCTGGCACTTTGAGCGTAGTCTATTCAAATGTCACATTAGTAAAGCAGTTTTGGGTTTTTGTTTTTGCATTGTGCTTAGCACAAGCTGGAAAAATCTCGTGTGATGGTCATTTCCTGCTGAGTCAGAATGCAGCAAAGCTGCTCAAATGTGAATGCAGTGGTCCACAGGAGATGGTTGCTTTCTGGTCTGTGCTGGAGAAGAGACTGCAGGTTGTTTGGAAAAGTAAAAATGACCAAAGAGCTTCTGTAAGATTTGTGAAGGAAAGTGTCTTGATTGTTTTTAAAACTCTTCTTTCAAAGCACAGTTTATCTTGTTAGCTGCTTTGCTCTTGGGGTTTCTTTGAATGCATTGCTAACATTTGTGAATATGTAGTTGCTAGATGAGATCGCACTTCAGAATGTTTAGTGCATAATATTGAAAGAGGCTTAAAATCAACAACAGATCTATAAAGATAACTCTGGATTATTTTACAGAAATAATTTTAGTAAATGGGATTTACCCAATATATTCCTCTAAACAGAAATCTTAACATATGGGTATTTCTATGCAAACTACAGAAGTTGGACTGCTTTCCTCTCTTACAGAGAAACAGACTGAAAAGACTTCCAGCTATGTTCCTGCCCTACTAATTCTGTTTCCCTCCTTTCCACCAGTTTTTACCCATGTGGAGAAGAACAGGCATTTCTTGCATTCCCTGCAAGTGAAACTTTGCAAGAAGTTCTTTTTCTTGGAAAGTAAGTTTCTCTGTATTTCTCTCTCTATATATATATACATTTCTTCGTCTCTCATTCCCCAAATACACTCGGCTTGCATTTAGAGGAAACTTTAAAAACCTTTGAAAATATCACATGTTGGGTAGCTCCATGGATGGAAGTTAATTACTGACCTCATGTATTCATTTTAGGTTGTATGTGAATTGTTGGCAAATTACTTTCATAGGAAAAAAGTGTGAGAGACGAATGATAAAAGGTTGGTTTGATAGACTGGGAGAGGATGATTATTAGGGAGAAGCACAAATATCCTGTCTACTTTGCCCTGTCAGCATGACTAAGCTCCGATATTGAGAGCTTCATCTACAACTAACTGCTTATGGCCTTCTCATAAGAGCACTTGTCTATGCAGTATTTGATAGATAAGTGCAAAGAGGGGGGTCATAACATGTTGCACAACCCATCCACCTTTCTTTCAATGCCTGAGATGAAACCCTGCAAATCTGCAGTCTGCAACCCAGCAGTGATTTAGAAGACTGATGGATGGCCTCCTCTTGGTCTCAGGGCAGGATATTCCCCCTGCTACTGGAACTGCCCTCCAGCTGTGAGCTGAAACACTGGGGACTCCTGGTGATCTTCTGCTTTCTCCTTCAACTTTTCTCCATTCTACTAAAAGGGTCAGGGAGAGGAGTCTGCCAGGTACAGCATAGGTGGCACAGGGAAGGAAGGGAGAGGGAGTCAGAGCTCAAGCAGCATCAGGAACATAATGTGAATAGGAAAGATTCACACCTGCAGTGCTTAGGCAGAACCCTTACAAAAGACAAGTGCTTGTCAGTATAACAGATCTGCTTGTTCTTGGATAAACTGAAGTGGATGCTTTTATCATTGTACATGTCTAGCAGTTTATATTTTGTTCCAAAGGCCACTATGTGCTACATAATAGAGACAGGAATGAGAAGTTCTGCAATTGGATTGTGTTGAGCCCAGTGGATAGTCTTCTGTGGAAGACAGAATAACAGAAGCTATCTAGGCTTTCTTGTAAAAAGGAATTCATATATTAAATGGTAGAATTAACATATAGGAGAGATATTTAGCTACAAAAGCAACTGTCAGCCTGATTCCTTAGTAAGGAACAAAGCTTCTGAAACAGAGCACATAAAGTCAGTTCAGGATACCAAAACATAGAATCATAGAATAATCTGGGTTGGAAAGAATCTCCAGCAAGAGTCTAGTCTCCTTTGCCCAAAGCAGGGCCAGATTCTACAGCAGAGTAGCCAGGGTTGTACCCAGTCATGTTTTCAATATCTGTAAGGTTGGAGATTTAATTTCTGCTTCACTCTGCGCATGTTCCAGTCTTTGAACACCTTGTGAATATTTTTTTCCTAATATGTTCCTTAGTTACAACTTGTGCCTGTTGGTATCAAACAAGCAGGTGAGACATCTCTAAAAATAAATAAGTTCAAGTGGAAAACTGGACATAGCGAATAATTTCAAGTCATGGCAATATCTGAATTAATAAAAATAAACACAGTGCTCTCAACATAGACACGGGGCCTCACTTTGATCTCAAGTCCGTAGCAGTTTTGTACTTGGAAGTGAAAGAAGTTAGACTCATCATAGGATTTCCGCTCAGGAGTTTTTACTTGACTGTCCTTTGGATGTCAAAGTCAGAAAAAACATGTATATTGTATCCCAATAATTAAAAAAAAAACCCAAACATTAATGGAGTATTGGAACATATAATAGGGACGTACCTTCTCTTGTCATCATAAAAAAGTGGCTCCAAGAGAAGAGGAGTACAAAACATGAACATAGAGACACAATCCCTTGTTTCTGTGTAATATACTAAATAATTTCTGTGTAATATTGCAGCTGCTTTTCCTTTCAACACACAGCAAGCAGAAGTATGTGAAGCTTTTGCCACCTTTTTGGTGGGGGACCAGGATTCAGAGGGGCAGCAGTTAATGTATTCCCTACTTTAATTCCTTATCCTGCCTGCTTCCAGTAAATACTCTCCTGGAGAGACATGCAGACACGCATGTCTCTTTGCCATAGAGTAGAAGTGGTCTGAAGGAGTGGCTGGCTGTATTTCTCAAGAAATTTCTAATTCTCTCAAGAATAGGGGTAATTTGATGCAAAAATTCTTTAAAATCCTCAGTTTTCTTGTATTTTTAACAAGTCCCTGATCAGAAAACTTTTTAGTATATGTGGTGTGTATAATAGCAGAGCGGCATTAATAAAGCTCAAAAGGCATCAATTCTCAGAGAAAAAATAAGACAGAATGTGGGTATTGAGAAGAAAAAATACAAAATTCTCTAAGAAGCATCTGAACCCACCATAGAGATGAGAAACTAAAAAATGTATGAATATCATTAATAGAAATTAGTGATTAAATTTTAATTTTCAAAGGAATAGATGTATAAATGAAGAATAGTAGTAAGCAGTAATCACACAAGAACACATAAGGAGAAATCAAACATCTAAACTTAGCTAAAGAAAAAGCAATTAGTGATGTTTTATTACTGATAGATATGTTTTGAAGAGACTCTGTGGAAGGAGAAAGATGATGTAAGTTCTTTCTTGTGCAGTACATTAAAAAAATGTTAGAAAATAATTTGTAGAATAGCTCATGACAGAAACTACCTCAAGGAGGATCATTGTGTTCTGGAAATGAAGTTAATGGTTCAAATCTAGCAGTTGAGATATTGCTAGTGCCAGCAACTTGTTGCTCCTTGTATTAACACTAAATTTGGCCACTTAAAGGGGATATAATCAGGAAAACGCTTTCAGTTTGAAATCTGATTCAGGCAGAAGTGATCCATGTTTTAACAAAATTGGTTGGAAAGTAGACTATTTTTTTGGAAAAAATGGGAAATATTCATTTAGAAAGATTGGGAGTTTGCAGAGAAAGATCACAGTTTTCCATAAGCAGACACATTTTTGGGCAGCTTTTTGGTTAATCACAATTCTAATTTTACATCACAGGACAATGTTTGCCAGCCTTAGCTGTGAAGCATGAACCTGTTAGTAATCTGAATTCACCTCGGGTACAGAATTTGAATGATACTCAAGATGTAAAAGTTCAAAACCATCACTTGTTTTGTTTGGCTTCTTAACTTCTCAGGGGTGCTTTGCTTTCCTGTAGATCGGCATTTCACTTATTTAGGTCCCTTTTGTGTTTTTTTTGTCCTTTGGAAAGTTTCACTTCGTGACATTTATGTATGCCTAAAAGTCATCTAGAAGATGATATTTGGAATGAAATAAAGAGTAGTAGAAATTAATAAGGAAGCACACAGTGTAACGAAGGATAAACGATAGGTTATAAGGTCTGTAAAAGATGTACTTTGTCTTTTAGATGTTTAGCTTGTACACACTAAATATTATGGATCAGCCTTTTTGTGTTTGCCTTGCCTAATGAAACACACAACAAATATAGTCACGGTGCAAATAATAAAAACAACAGTAAGGCAGAGATGAAAACTTTTAAATCACTAAAGAAGTAAGTTGGAAGAGGCAGGAAAAAAGTTAGGAAAATGAAATGGGGAAGGAGCCATGTCTGTTATAAATTCTTAGAGAAATATGGTGCTTTTTTTCTTCACTATGTTGTCCTGTTTTTTCTTTACTGCATTGTCTGCAGTAATGAAATCTTTGTTTTAACATCCAGGAGGTCAGTTTGAGAAATTGTTACTTATAGAAGCTATGCAGAAGGTTGAGAGAATGGAAAATCCATAAAGCACAGTAGGAACAATAGGCCCATGAAGGACACTTTATTGTGCCTGATAGTTGACAAGTAAAATGTATTGACAGAAGGAGTGCATTGCTTAAAAGACACAACTTCCTGCCTTGTTCTCAAAAAAAGGAGAAAGATTTGAATGCTAGGAGTGGGTTAAAATTTCCCCAAGGAAAGGAATCAAACATTTACTAAAACTAATAGTTAAGAAACAAGTTTACTGAAATAGACCATTTCTCTCCCTCTCTCCCCCCCCCCCCCCCCCCCGTATTCCGTGTGCCTGATATTTATTGATAACGGAGCTGGCAGCTGGATGCAAGTGCTGACCCCCATTGTCTGACTGTGGCAAGTTCCTTCTTACTCTAGCAGTGAAGCACAGTTTCAAAGTCTGCAAATGCAACGACGCACCCATCTCTGTGAGCAAGCATATGCCCGAATCTGAAGAAGTTTTTATCTTCTGGCAAATAAAGCTGGTTTCGTAAGTGCTGGTAATTATTGGTCCCCAGAGTACATGGTTCTGCTCAGTGTTTTGCTTATAATACAGGGACTGCTTCATGAAGTCATGAAAATGCACAGTTACAAAACAGACCAATACACTTCTTTTTCAGTGAACCTGATGGGTCTCTGGTGGCACAAATGCATCGCAGAATGGGCATGCAGCAGTACAAGCATGCCCTGGGCCTCTCCTTAGCTGAGGTGTAAAAGAGCTGTCACAGCCATGAAACACTTGAAAGCCAGTGTTTCATGGCTGTGCCAGAAAGCATCTGGCTAATGCCCTTGAGAGACACATTAGCCTTCACCCTAGCATCCACACATTAGAGGAGACATTTGTTACAAGCTAATGAACCCTCATTTTCGTAATCTGTGTTCAGGAGCTAGGTGTCGACAGAGAAATGAGCTGTTCCAGAAGCAGTGGAATTAATAAAACCTGATCTTTTTACAGATTTGACCTGGTCCTCACATAACTCTTACAATAACCCCAGCCCTCTTCCATACCCACTTCGCTCCCCGAAACTCTTTTATCCCTTCAGAGTATCACCAGCTTCCCCCTATATTACCCTCTTCTCTGGCTGAGCGATAGGCAGCATGCTGCCTGTTAAGAGCAGAAGCTGGGTGTGTGCTGGCTGACCACTGAACTTCAGGATAAGTGGTAGTCATTACAAATACCTCTCCTTCTCCTCTACCCAACTGCCAGTGTTCACTTCTTTTCTAGAAACTTTGTTATGTTTAGTACTGCTGCCCCTCTGCTGAGTTGTTTGAAAGTGATCAGCAGGTTCACAAGTTACTGAGAAAGATGAAAAGCACCAGGGGTTAGGTCTCATTTCCTGAGGAAACCGGAATTTAGACAAATGGTCATGGATCCATGATTAGATTGCAGCTTCTGCCGAGAACTTCATGGGCTGAGCCAATCAAAGTTACAAGTCTAAAACAAATGCGTGCAGAGTGATACTAAGTTTTGTCAGCATGACTGCTAATAGGCACTATCTGCCACAGCAAAAAAACTACCTTAGAGGTATTTTTAGCAAAGGAAGCTGAGCTTTTGAAAAGTAGAACCTGCACCTGCTGCAGCTTAGCTTTTCTTGCACAAAAATCCCACGTTGTCTTTTTCAGATGGATGCCTGGCTCAGAGTAAAGGACATGCAGTACACAGCCCTTAGCAGAAGCTGAAAATGGATGATGCCTACTGACGCTTTCGACAATGTCACCTCCTCTTTTCCTGTTTGAGATGGGTGATGTGATCACCAGGAAAAAGTTCTGAAAGAAGCCTAGAGTGACCTCTTCATCCATTGACTTCTCTTTCTGCAAGTCTAAAAACCATCAGAAGAAATGACCAGTCAGCTACCAGAGGAGTCTGTGGAAATCCAGAGCTCAGATGAGCTCGAGTGCAAGATCTGTTACAACCGCTATAACCTGAGACAGAGGAAACCGAAAGTGCTGGAGTGCTGTCACAGAGTATGTGCCAAATGCCTTTGCAAGATCATAGACTTCGGTGATTCCCCACAAGGAGTCATAGTATGCCCGTTTTGCAGGTTTGAAACATGCCTGCCAGACGATGAGGTTAGTAGTCTTCCTGATGACAACAACATCCTTCTGAATTTGGCTTGTGGGGGAAAGGGAAAAAAGTGCCTACCAGACAACCCAACAGAGCTCTTGCTGACTCCCAAGAGGTTGGCATCTCTGGTTAGCCCTTCTCACACCTCTTCTAATTGCCTGGTTATAACAATCATGGAAGTACAAAGAGAAAGTCCCCCGACCCTGAACTCAACCCCTGTTGTGGAATTTTACAGGCCTACAAGTTTTGACTCTGTTGCAACTGTGTCCCACAACTGGACAGTGTGGAACTGCACATCTTTGCTCTTCCAGACCTCAATTAGGGTGCTAGTGTGGTTGCTCGGGTTGCTGTACTTTAGTTCCTTGCCTTTAGGGATTTATTTACTGGTATCTAAGAAAGTTACCCTTGGGGTTGTCTTTGTAAGCCTTGTTCCTTCGAGCCTTGTTATTCTCATGGTTTATGGCTTTTGCCAGTGTGTTTGCCATGAAGTTCTAGACTGCATGTCATCTTGATAACAAATGCAGTAAAATAAGATGTATTGTCACTTGTGTAGCATAGTTGATATGTCCTGTCTTTGTATTCTTATTTATTCTTACTGTTGTCCATCCCACTAAATGGAAGCAGTGGCCCTAGTTATATGGTCCTTTTTTCTACTTGATTTGATTCCCCCCTCCTTTTTTTTTTAAAGCTAAATAATGGAAATAAAATTTACATGCTGATTTTAAAAGGCCAAGTTGTAGGAAAGGATAAAGCAAAATTGCCAAACTGGGTGCCTGCTGCTGCTGCCACTATTCACACGGGTAGCCCTTTGCTTTCTATTGGCTTGATCATGTCAGTCAAGGCTGCAGGATCCACACTAGAAGAAATTAATACAATAGACACCTTCCAGGTCAAAGTACAGCATCTCATGCTTTGGAATATCTGTAGTTTATCATATGTTACCATTTACAGCAAATAAAATCACTTTATTAGTTGATATTATAAGATGAATAAGACAAGCTGCCATTGCTTTTTCACAGTTCTTGTTATAGCAGAAATATTTGTTAGGAGGCCAATGGTTACAGGTTTTTTGCATTCTGCAACATGAGGAATCTTTTTTTCACCATGCTAAAGACATGTCTCCAAAACACTTTCCCCAAACAGAAGCCCACTTGTCATACAGTTGCAGCTGCCTCTGAAATACTCTTGCTAATGAGTACTTCCAGGGACCCAGCCACACATTTGCTCTTCTCTGGGTGTTCTTATTTTGGTGTGTATACACCTTAGGTTTCCCTTTGAGGATTCAGAGCTCTGCAGATTTCTGTAGCTATGTTGTTATGCTTACCCTCCCCTCTAGCATTTCCACCACCGCACCACATCTCCAACCCATTAGTCCTCCTAACAAATTGCCTGACCAGCTTCATGCACATCTACTCTGTGGTAGCTACACGGGAGAATTTGGATTATGTGGCTTTAACTATCAAGATAGACTTTTATTCCCAACCATTAGGAAATGGACCTTCAATCACTAAGACGGATCTCAGAAAAAAAATCTGAAACTGTTGGTTTTTTTCTTTCTGAGTTCACAGAATGAGCATTGTAAGGAGGTTCTATGACTTTGGAAAGGTTTCTATTTATCACATAGTTCTTCAAAATGTTTAATACCCTGAGCTCCCTCTGTCACCATTGTGAGTGGATGGCACTCTAGGTGTGGCGATTGGTATGTCTTGATCAGTTGAGTTCAGAGGAGTTACTGATGATTTACCATTCCACAAATAGAATCAGGCCCTGTAAGGCTTGCTTGTATCTTGTACGGTTCAGGCTACTTTTTGAACTACTGGAAGAGCACAGAAAAAGGAAATATTTAATGTGTATAACTAGGTTTAGTCAACACCACAGCTGCAATCTTGTTTTCCTGTGCACAGCAGGGTTAAAACTGAGGAGCTGAGCAGGGCAAGCATGGTTTCTGGGTCAGGCACAAGACTCTGTAATTTCAAGGCAGTGTCAGGGAGAAAGGTTTGTTGCATGAAGATTGAATGTATGGCCTAACAATATATTCTTAGAGCAGGCTGACTTAAAGAATGGAAAATGCCAACGGGAAAAGCAGAGCGTAAGTGGTTGTTGTGTCTGTCAAGGATTTGAAGTCAAGTTGCTTTAATTTTTGTAGATGGCATGGATGTTATCTACAGTTTCATTCCTATCGCAAACATAGGGAAGAATGTGGAAATGTAAAGGTCCTGCTTTTCTTGACACTCATTTTATAGTAGTCCATATATGTGTGTGTGTATGTGCATATAGACACATATGTAAGAAGAAAACTTAAAGCAAAATCATAGTTTCCAAGTGTATGGAGTTATGGAGCTATGTAATGAATGATTAATGGAAATGTTTTAGGCTTTTCTGTAATGATTTGATAACAATTATAACTAAAATATTTTCAGAATTCCTAGAAATCACTATTTCTAAGTAATTGTTTTTAATGTCTGTGGTAAAGCATATAGTTAGAAGAGGTATCATCTCCAGTTCTGGTATATACTGCAAGGTTTGACTCATCTATGAACTCATAAAATCTAAGTATCCAACAACAATCATGTGAAAAAGCAAGAAAAATAGAAACCTATGTGGTGTTATCGTACTTCATAGCTTTGGGATAAGATGTATTTGTAGTGTTAGGGATTTATATGTTTTAGGATTTGTTCAATTTGTCTGAATGTAGTGTCTCTAATAAAGGGCTGACTAATAGGTTTTGCAAATGTGTGACACATATGTAGTACCTCTGCACAATATGTCTACAGTGATACCTGTTGTCTTTTCCGTTTGATTTTCAGTTGATTAAGATTATTGTAGCTCCAGCGCCGAGTATTTTATACTCTGTTTTAAAAATCTCAGCAGGATTACAGTGGTATCAGTTACATCTCACAGCACAAATAAATACACCTGTTGTTATACTTCACTCTTTTAAGACTGCCAGCCTGTTAAATTTATGCTGTTATTTTAGACTGTGCTGCAACACTAATCCACTCTAAAATAAGAGCGTGCAAAAACATATTGATTGTATAGCTATTCTGCCGCTCAGACAGAGCACGTTTTTACAGCTTTGGTCTCATACAATTCCTGTATGACTTACAATATGACCACTGAGAATTGCTAGGAGGTCTAAATCTCAATTATCTTTGGAGAAGATATTTGGTGTGTGACTGGGATTAGAAGAACTTCAGATATTACTCTTTCATTATTTTTATTCTCCAACATCCTTAAGACTTAGAACTGAAAACTCTTGTCTCCTCTACAGTGGAATAACTCTGTCAGTGTAAGTGGAGCTAGAATCCAGCCCTGCATACCTGCCTGTCTGCATTTCCTTCCCTTTCTGTGACTTTTTTCTCTCCTTGGGGAGTAATAGCTCCTGTGGTCATAAAATACTGCCTGCCCACCAAGGCAATTTCCTTTCAGTAGGATTTTATTCCTGCTTTGCAGAGACGTGACTCAACTGGGTACGAAGTGTAATGAATTCATTATTACAAGATTAATTTTGTACGAATTAGATTTTTTGTTTTAATGCCTGCTTATCCTATGGATGCAGACCCTATCCTCACTAGCTGCTTGTTTACAGTATAATACAGTGATATCCCCTGAGGGCCAGGGCAGGATGATGTAGTAGTAGCTGCTGGGCACAACATAGGAAGGATGTGCTGCACTGAAACATCCTCTGAGTGGGATCTAGTGAGGGATGAAATTCTGCAAGCATGGCCTGAGTCAAGAGCCTAAAGGGCAATTAGCGGAGAGTGAGTTACATGGAAAGCAGGGTCTGTCGGTTCATAACCAGGACATAGAGTCCTGGGGCTGTGGGTGAGCTGTGGATAAGAAGCTGTGTAAAGCGGGGAGAAGTCTATGCCTGGGACAAAGGGGCTGTGTTTTAAATAATGAGTTTGGGGTAGAGCTGCTGAAAACAGGGGTTAATTTTTTCATACCTACCTTTCTGGTCATTTGGTAATTAAAAGTCATTTGCTACTGCTGCTATAGTTGACTATTTTTACTTTCCAAATGGCAAAGTATTGAACATTATCATTTAAAGAGATCCTTAGATTTGGGCATACTCCCTCTATTATGTTAACTAGTTAAAGCTAGGATCTCTCAGACAGGCTTGAAGAAAATAAGGGCTGATGTCTTTGATTTAGCTGCATTGTGAATTTTGTCCTACGATATTTATCATATGCCTGCAAAAACCTATATATTAATATAAACACTTAAAATAGGTGAAGCTTTCTCCTAATAACACTATTGGCAAACTTCAGGGTTGCCAGCATTTTAAGATGTATCCAAGAATAGACATTCTTCCCCATGACCTTTGTTACCTGAAGATACTGATAGGTCCAGCAGCACACAGCCAAGTAGACAAGTAGTACAGTACAGGGAAACTCAGCTTTCCAGCTAAATGGCTACACATAACTTCAACCAGAGAAAGGGGAACTGAGGACGTTCATGGGAAAGTGGATGATTGTGTTTGAGGGACTTCCTTGTAATTACAGGACAGAACCATTTTTCTTCCTAATTCTAACCAGTTCCAGGGCTAGATTCAACTCCCTTTTCCCCATTACTTTTCTGCATCCTCTGTTGGGACTGTGTAAACAGTATTTTGAAATGAAGCAACCTTTCCTACTACGCTGAGTTTGCAGCTCAGTCCAGAACAACACGATTAATTCTGAAAAGATGGCAAATTGCAGCCAGGATGCGAGAGTGAACAGGGTGCAGAGGGGGAACAGCAGCAGGTTGTTAAAATAGCTTTGATGTCAAAGCAAGGAGAACATGCGGCTACATCCTGCCTTATCATGGCTGGTTCAAAAGTAGTGTGAAAGGCTGTCTCTGGCCTGAGGACTACCATGACTCAGCACCCTCCTCTGCATTACCTCTGTGGCAGTTTACTTCAGTTGTGCATCTTGATGTCTTGTACAGCAGTTGTACATCACGTTTTCATTTTCCTGTGTGGGTGATGGGTGTAGTGAAAGGTCCACAGTGTTCCACTCTTAAACTGGCTTATTATAACTACCCTAAGGTTTCTCAGTTCGGGGAGGAGGGGAGGGAGAGGGTCTGTATTTCTTCATATTTCAACAAAAGCTAGAGAGTGCGCTCTATTTTAAATAGAGCAGTGCCTTCAAGGGTAAGAAAAAACCAACAGGGGGAAGAAGAACTGAGAATTTTGAAATCATTTTAAGATACTCAAACTGATGGAAAGAGACGGTTCTGAGAGTCTACTTTTACTTACATACGAGCAGATTAGATGTTGAATGACATCAGTAAATATTTAGTGCTGGAAATTCCTGAGGGAGTTTATAAGGCTGCCAGACCTTAGGCACAAGCCCCACGCTCCCCTGCTTCTCTGTAAAGCACCATTCTGTCTTTTGCATCAGCTCCCCTTGTCAAAAGTTGAATCATCAGGCTTTATAGAGAGTTCTGGTACACAGAATAAATCCCCAGTCTGGGGATGGCAACTCATCTTTTTAGAGACTCATGTGGCAGTAGCAAAGCTTTCGGTGCTCAGGAGAGAAGTCATCTTGCAGTCTGAATTGCTAGCATAAATTTAATTTAAATCAAGTTTCATTGTGTTGGGAAACACTACAACTAAAAATCCTGTTACCGTATTTCTGCCTCTTTCTTGTGTTATGCAACTGTGGTTTGCATTTTAAAAAATGTATTAAATCATGGAAATCAGAGATGGGTGGAAAAAAGCCTAATAAGTCATTTTATCCATTTCCTCTGCCCCTGTAGAGGTGAATGCTTTGTCTAGTCTGGTTTTAAATGTCTCGAGTGATGAGGCCTCCACCTCTTACACAAGGGACTTTTCAGCCATTTAATAGGCATCTTTGTGAGGAAATGTTTTCTTCGTACTGATCTCAATTTTTTCTTCTGCATAAAGCAATCCCTCTACTGTGCTCCCACTGTTTTAACTTCTATGAAATCTGGGAAATGTATCATATTTATCCATTTCATCCTGTAGCTGAATAATTCATAATCCTTGTTGTTTAAGTAATGCAAGAGATAAGTAACCAGTTGCTGGACAGTTGTTAATACTCCACTGAGATGGTGTGCCGTGTACCAGCAGACATATTTCCTGGCAAGTCATGGCTGAGGCTTCATTCAACATTAGTGAGAGAAAAATGTCAAGTGAAACTGAAGAAGTGCATCTTCCTAAGCGCGTGCGTGGCAATATTGCTGAAATTTCAAGAGGTGCTGAGGCAAACAGCCTATTTCTTTAGAAAGAGCTTTTCTTTCTGAAAGTAGATGATTTTAATAAAAGTACACTTTCAAAAAGCATTTAAATATCCTTTTCAGAAGCAAACCTCTGTGTGAGAACCACTCTAAGCCAAAACTCTTAACTTGTTGAGAGACAAGGCTGGATTGATTGCCGCTCACTGCAGAGCAGTTTTTGCTGACAGCTTAGCTCAGAAGAGAAATCTAATCCAGTGTTAAGGAGAAGGGTTTGAAAAGATGTCTTTGCAACTGTGTCGTTGGATCGGATCTGTGCGTGAAAAAGTGACTCATGTCTTGACAACAGAAAAGTGCATTGTTGATTTAATTACCACGTATTAGATAATCCTCTGCCTATCTCAGATGACAAGAAGGGGCAGTGTGACTAAGGAAACCCTAGGTGGACAGGTGGACCTCATAGTTTTACATTCAACAGATACTTAAAGTGATACTATGCTTTATAAGAGAACGCTAAGCCAGGATCAGGTGGGCAGTCAGCTGGGTCAGGAAGGGTCTCTCTAACCTTAGAGTGCTCATGGATATATGCAGAAAAGTCCATGAACAACCCATGTGGATGGTGAACTTCCTCATTTACAGCAATCTGCTATTTGGAGACCTCTTGAGATGGAGGTTATGTTTGTATCTGTGGGACTGAGTCTTGCCTGTGGACTTCTGTGACTCCCTTAAAGTGTTTTTTTTTTAACCCATTCATAGAGTTATAATCTATAAAATCCTGCATCAGTGAGCTCCATAATTCAATTATATTCTTTGTAGAAAAGGTCTGCTTTGTCTTAAAAACTCCCAAGATACCAGTTACATGTCCCCTACTTTTTCTGATAGGAAAAGCAGTTCTGAGGTGTGATTGCCCACTGTTTCCTTCACACCCCTCAGAACTTCATCTGCCTCTAGAAATATTGCCATCATAATTTTATCCCTCAAACCTCTCCCCAGCTGCCTCTTTTGGTTCTAGTCAATCTGATCTCTCCTTAGACAGCAGGCTTTACATGACTAGCACCAGCCATTTTACTTGTATTTTACCTTTGCTGCTGCTACTTTTTTGGTTTGAGGCAGGGCAAAACACTCAGAAACAGGTTCTAATTAGTATCACTTGTAAGTAAGTTGTATGAGCATGTAAGATGTCTGTACTCGCATGGCCACTGAAATCACTTTGTCATTGATACAATTCCTTATGGTGTATCTGAGGTGTTACACTTGACTATGTCAGTTTATATATCACGCATTATATGGGGGACAAAACCATGTGCATCTATAAACTTACAGGTATTCATTCCAATTGTCCAGTTCATATGGGTGCAGGGGATGGTAGACTCCAGGAGAATATTCAGTTTAATCTTGGCATAGTCTTTGTACAGATTTTAGCCCTATTAGGCATGTGGCCTGACGTTGCTGGACTGAGCAGCTACTCATCAGCAAGCGCTGTAAGATGCCTTCCCTCTCTTGCCATAGTGGCGCACCTGCCTCACACACTTGCTGCAGCT